ACAGTGCCTATTCGATTGAACGCCGCCCTCGAAAAAACACCGCAACAAATCTGAAGATTAGGGCGTTTTGTCAGGATCATAAAAAGAAATATCAATTCAGATAAGTAATATTCCTTATATACCCTTGTTATAAACATTACAAGCCAGAGAACTATGATCCTGTCTCGAATAGAAGCCAAGTCTGCGACGCTAACAAGTTTATCAAACGTAGGGCGATTAATCTAGTAAATATGCACGGATATTATGTGCGCAAAACACGTGATTGATAGCGAATATTTGTCGTTTAAATGATTGCTCAAAAAAGAGCAAAAACTCTTGGTAAATGAAGAAATTCTATCATTTATTCTGTACCATACCTTTCCACGAATCCTCCCTTCAGGACTTTTTCCATCCATGGTCTTCACATGAACAGTTTTCGTTGTTTTGTCGTAAAACCATTCGCCAGCATTGTCAAGAAACTCCAGCTTATCCTCCAGAAAGTACTGATTATGACCAGGTTTGAACTTTATGGCGCCAAAATTATCTTTATAAGTAAAAAAATTCTGTCCCGATCTATGGCTTTGGACTATGGCAGTAAAAGTGTTAAAGCTTCCGACATTGAGGATAGCCACTGCCCCAGTCACGTCAATACCGCTTCCGGCCAAATTCTTTTCACCACTATCTACCATTTTGCCCCTCGTAGATCTGGAGGAAGATTTTGCCCAGTACTTGTTTAAGAAAACAGTTTTGTCCGACCACAGAGCATTTGGCCAACGAGCGTTGGTCATCATTTCGCCGTCAACGAAAAGCTGCCAGATATCTCGCTCAATTTTGGCACTGTAAATTCCATCTTTGCCACGTTTCCAGCTAGATTTTCCTCGAGGTATAACTGGAATGGTGCCATCGATGATTGGAATTTCTTCTCCATAACCGCGTATAATAATAGGCTGGGATAGAGTTCCTTTTTTGCCTGATATCTGGAACTGCGGTTCGTGGTAACGTCCCTGGCGAATATGGCATTCATCACCAGGTCTATTTAGCGTTTTGATGCACTTGGTAATGGTTGCAAACGCTTGTTTGATACGTTCGCCCGTGTTGAAATCATTTCCTTTTTCCCTATCGACAAAGTAGACCGTACCACTCGCGATAAGTGGAAAAGCAACGAGAAAAACCGACAGTAAAATAATTTCTTTCATTTGAACAAAAAGAAGTCGGCTGTGCTAAAAAGAAATACGGTCACAGTTTAACTAATGTCGTTTGCTGTACGGATTCAAATTAAACTGAACTCTGCAGCAAAGAAGGTCTACATACGCAGCGAAGCAAACCTTTGTGTGAGAACAAGCCCTTGCAGAGTCACAATCACTTCAAATAAATAAAATAAAATGAGTGTTAATTATGTCTGAAAGACTATTTACTCAAGTCAGTTTTTTCAATTTCACGATAAGCCAGAGGCGGTTTTTTTCCCCTAAAGCTGAAAAAATATCATTGAATTCTTGTTAGCACATAATTTAAATACATTCATTTGAAAATTTTAATAATGGCATCTGAGAATAACGAAGTATTTAAGCAAGACAAGTTTGTCAGTTACCTTGGTGTCAATGGTAAAATTTTGAAAGCTCCCAGCCTCGATACTGTTTACAAAACCAACAATACATAAAAGGAAGTTTAAAAAGGAGTGCAAATACCCTTCATTTCCTTCCTTCGTTTGCAAATATTGTTCGGTTATTTTTGTCTATTTTGTACTGGTTTTAGTTACGGACAAGTCACAGTATTTTATTGATATAATTACCATCTTAGACTCAACCCGTAATGATAACCTTGAAAGATCTTAAACCTTAATTATTCAAAATACTTCACAACAATTCACATGATCTTGAATCTTTGGTTGGTGTTGTGCAAGTATTAGCTTGAGCTTACAATTCTCATGAACTCAAACCTATCATCAATTTTACATTTCAAAGCATGTATATACCTTCTGGTTGTTGTAAGCACGGTCACGGGTGGTAACGAGTTTTCTCAGAGATGTAAAATAGACTTTTCTTCATCCTTCCACGAATTCCTCTCCTCTCCAAATTATCTATTGTCAATGAATCTAGTGTGGGAAAGATTTGATAATTTGAATAAAAATTATGCCGATAAACGATCTTTCGGGCAAGTTCTGTTTCTTGATTTTTGTGAGCAGTCTGATTTGGAAGGCAAGGTTGCTCATCGCTCGTTTGTCCCTCTATTGCCGTTTCATACATTTACACAAGAAATAAAAAAAAACAATTTTACTGAATCAATGATTCAGTTTTAAATAACATATCTACAATATTTTTTCTCCATGCCTAATTTACGAGCAGAACTTGAGCGGAATTTTGATGTTTGAGCAGAATCTTTGGCAGAATTTGCGATATTTACGAGCTGTACTGGCAGGCAGAATTTACCATTTTGTTCAATCAGACGGTAACAAGACCCCCCTTCCAGGGGTACCCATGTCCTGTCAAAGCAAAAACAAAAAAAACCCCGCTGGGTCTGAATGAAAGAGACAACGGGTCATATCAATCATTTTACCAAAAACGCTATGACATATCAGTCTATATGGGATTTTCCTATCCAAAAATAACTTTGCCAATAACTTTTAAGACTCGAAGAAAAGATAATCATCGTCCCGCTGGTGTTCCAAAATCTACCGTACACTGTTTAAAAACCCCCTTTTTTTCTGGCAAAAAAAAAAAAGATTCAACGAACAAGACAGGTCTTAGTGAATTTAACTTAAAACTATTTTTTGCATACTGCTCTTCACAAAACCCCTCTTTACAGGTAGGACTGTAAAAACACTACAAGTCCTCTTCTCCAGAACTCATACTCGTGTGAAGTGGTTACGCTATTGTAGTTTAAATTTATTTCCTTCTATGGCAGGGAACACAAGACCTTGAACATAATGAAATATTAATTTTTACGGTGTAAGACTTTATATGCAATATAGAGCAGGTCTAAAGACAGTCGAATTTCTTATAAGGAAAGTTCAGGGACGGTAAGTATTCGAACAAAACATGATTGTGTTTATTTTTCTGTGGTCAAAACTCTCCATTGTTTCACTTTCCAAGGTCTCATAGTTGGATTGCAGCTTTTTTCTAATTTTTTTTCTTTGATAGATTTTTTAGTAAATTAGGTGATAAGACAGTTGCTTTATTTTAGATGAACGCTCATTTAAGTGCCCCCCAGCTTAAAAGACTAGGACATGACAGAAAGTTAACAAAACCAAGAGCGAACATAGCTGTTTATTAATAAACAATAATGACAATAACGAAAATTTCAAGAAACCAATTTTACTAATTTTTCAAAAAGAGAGACACAATCAAAGGTGAAAGAGCACGAAGTAGACTGCATCAAACAACGAATGATAAATGTAATGATTACTTGGTTAAAACAGAGTAAATTACCCTCAGGTAATTGATACTAAGATTAACCCTGAGAGTTTTCGAGCAGAATATAAGAATCGGGTTTTTCGTGAGGCCGAGATAAGCCCCGGTGGGATACGTTCTATTTGCCATCGAGAGTTGTAGTACCAAAGCTATCTTGAACAAGGCGAAATTTTGGACTGGAAAATTTTTCGTAAATTTAATCTCATTTATCCCTTTCAAATTACCATGGCAGTTTAGATTTAGTAATAACACAAAGTGGCTTACTTAGATGAAATATTTTACCAAAAAGTCTAAACTGAATTAAAACTGAATGCGTCGGGCCTGCACAAATGTTAGACAACATATTTAATACTGATATTCACATTTCTTTGCTTACAGGGAGACGAAAAAAGTTTTCAAAGATCCTATCGCTTAAACGAAAATATTTTTGGAGTGGTCAACTTCATTCCCTTGCGAGACCTAAGGTGTTAGCTCTTCGAACAACAGGTAACAGGTTACAGCCCAAATTTGAGTTGACTCATTTTTAATTTAACAGAGGAATATGTCGGCTATTTTCCCGCCCTAAAGCTCTTCAAAGTCGGAATTATTCAAGGTTGTAATTAAAATGATGATTTCTGGGTTTTATTCTCTGTGACCTTAACTAGTGAAGCGATTTTGTTAATTGTATGCCTGCGATTTACTTGCTGTGACTATAAACATTGTTCATAGCTACAGTTCGTTAAGGTGTAAAAATGAGCTATTTACAGCGAAAAAATATACCAGACACTAGGTAATTATGAGTCAGTCGATTATTTATCTTGATGATGACTTGATGTCGAAAACGTTTGGTTTTATACTTTTTAAATATATTTTTGCCTTGTAAATAGCTCTCAATAAACATGGCTTCAATCGACTTTCTTTGGCTGGAACGAGTCTCAGTTTTAAGCATTTTTACGATTCTAAAGCATCCGTGTTTTGCCGCAATAACTTTCATGGTCTTAAAGCAAATTTAAGTCAAAAATTTAGACGACAAGCGTAAGCTTAAATCGAGATCGCACGCAGGACTGTTTTATGCTGTCATATCGTTAGCTTACGCACTCGATGTTGTAGTTGAACAAAAACTCTAAGCAATCTTCATGACCTAAACTTTATTTTATGTCCCAAAGACACCAAAACCGAAACACATTTTAAAGCTGTTTTGTTAAACACAGTTTGAAATTTCTTTTATTGTTTAAGCTGCTTAGCCTCATGATGCATGTCGACTTCAAATTTACTACAAGTTAGTGTTTAAGTGAATTCTATGGAAAGTTTTAGTTTTTAGTTTTCAGTTCTCTGTTTCTGATTGTCATTCAGTTAACCCTGGTTTAATTAAATATATCTTTGGCGTAGATGGGTATTAGACAGAAAAAAAAACTTCAGAAAATTTGAAAACATTTCGGTAAAAGCGTAATTTGTATGCTTAGCTGCTTTTTTTACGGTAAGGCCTAAGTCTTATTTATGTGAATGGGTACCATGCGAAACCATACTGATTTTCATTTTAAGAAAATGACTGAAATAATTAAGAATACGTGAAGACAATTCTTCAAAATTAATAAACGTTCATTTTTAAAAGCCTGGTCCTTGTTCTGTAATTTTTTTAAAAAATTAAAGTCTGTGAGGAGGTGTCTGCTTTGTAACAGAACCATACTTATCCGCAGTTCAAATACGACTTTCATATATTCACAGCCGTTCAGAACCATACTCATTCATAGTCGTTTCCAGGAAAATAGAAAATGTATATGGAACGAATTAGGAATACATGAAAAAACATTCCTCACAAAAATTATCAAGGTTCATTTTAAAAGCCTAATCCTAGTCGAGCATTTTTAAAGAAAACTCAAGTCTTTGAAGAGTTTTCTGCTTGCCGTAACAGGGTAATATTCATCTCTAGCTTTTATCGCGCCAGCGAAGTCTATTCAACCACCGACCTAACAGAAACGCAGCTGTATACATATGGAGTTCGTTCAGCATTTTAGCAAGATACACCTGATTTTTTTCTTCCTTTTGTATTTTTTAAAATATATTTTCAAATAGTAAAGTTGAATAATGAAAATCAAAGTAAGGCTCATATTGAGAACACCCAACATGTTAGTACAGTTGGTTGACAACTGCTTATGAGTTGAAAGGTGCCAGCTTAAAAATAAAGAAGGCGAAGGCTTTGTGAAGCAAATCTCACAAAACTAAATAAATATTTCTTCTATCAGTCTTACACGAGACTTATTCCTAAGTCATCTTTGTAAATTTAGGCCATAATTCGGCTTTTTAACCAGAAGGTAAGGTAGTTCTAACTTAAAAAACCACAGATATTTAGATGTACGACAAAAAATGTTTGAATGCATGGATCTACACCAGTTTATTTTTTTTCACAAAGTTGTGGTATGCGAATGGTTACTCATGAATGGTGTAAAACGGTAAAATTTAAAATATTTGACACAGTCAGTTAAGTCAAGAATCAATTTCCCCTAAAACTAAGAAACGCCTGGTGCTTTGAGTTTGACCGCGTTACTCACATCACGCCTGCTATGTACCAATACTGACTGGTTACCTTTAAAAGTATCGAGTAATTTTGATCAAATAGAACGATTTTCAGGCCATTGCGACGTGTTATATCTTTGAACTTACCAAAGAGACGACAAAAATGAACCATTTGCCGTGCGGTGCCAGCGCTTCAGAATGCTAAGCCAGTCATTTAACAGCTGAGAGCAATTTCTGCAATTTCAAGAAAGCACCTAAAAGTCATCTTTTTAGCTAAGCTCGCCAACAAGGATTTCCTTTGCACTGATTTTGATATAAATATATTTTTTTCTCTTCCTGTTGCTCATATTAACTTAAAATATCTTTTTAAAAAGTTCTTCGATTTCAAATGTTGAAGAAAGCACCAAAACTGTCTTTTCTGTCAGCGGCTCGTCTTAAGATTTTCTCTTGTGTTAATTAAACAAAGATCTTCTAAAAGCTCTTCGATTTTAATCTTTACATGAAGTGAAATACACTATATCATATTGGATGTATTTTGCACTGTGTAAGTGTTGGTAATAACATGATTTGGAGTGCAATTTGGTGTTTGGTAAGCATGAGCAAATTTTTCAAAGACAATGAAATTGCACGAACCCGTTGGGCGAGTGCAAATTTTTAGTCTTTGAAATATTTACAAGTGCTTATTTACACCAAATTACACGAGAAATCATTTTGTTACTTATCAAAGATTTACATGAAAAAAGCGTCGCAGAGAGTCGAGACAGATGAAATTTTGATGGCGCACCCGCGCTATTTGTAACATTTGTAACTTGCACTCGTGTTACATAAAAAATGTACTCGATTTCAGCCATTCAGTCGCGTGTACTTTTTTATATGTATTGTTAACAATGTTATTGTTAGTATCTCACTCAGATTATTGGTTTTGGACAGGAAAAAAATATTGCTAAAAATTCAAGAAAGCTACATAACGCTGTATTGATGAAAGTAACTCAGTATAATCATGAATTTCTTCGTAGGCACCACCTTTCATTTAAATAAAATGGAAGTCTTTATGCTCATTGCAATCTACGCTGTATTACCCATGTGTGTAAGCAGCACCATTTATTACGTGGACGCTGGAAGTAAAGGCAGTGACTCGAATACCGGACAAACCACCGACAAACCATTCAAAACCATTCGCACGTGCATCGATGCACTGAGCTCCGCAGGAGACGAGTGTCATATCCGTGCGGGGCGCTATCACGAGCCACAATTCCCTATAGCTAATAAAAAGGGCAGCTTGTCTCAACCTATAATCATACGGGGGTATGGAAACGAGAATCCTGTCATCGACGGAACAATTCCATTGAAGCCACGTGGAAGCTCGTCGTGGGTGCGAGGAAGCGATGGAATCTATAGCGCCCAAATCAATCAGGAAATCTGGCAGCTTTTCGTTGGCGAAGAAATGATGACGAACGCACGCTGGCCAAACGCCTTGTGGTCGGACAAGACTGTATTTAAAAATAGCCATTGGGCGAAGTCTGCTTCGAGCTCAACCCGCGGAACAATGGTTGATAATGGTGTTAAAGACTTGGCTGGAAGTAGATTAAACGTAACAGGAGCAATGGCAGTTCTGAACATCGGAAGCTTCAATACTTTTACTGCTAAGGTCGAAAGTCACGTGCCTGGAAGAAGTTCCTTTACATATAAAGACACTTTTGGAAGTATAAAGTTCAAGCCGGCCAGTAACCAGTACTTTTTAGAGGACAAGCTTGAGTTCCTTGACAATGATGGCGAGTGGTTTTTTAATCAAAGCACGAAAACTGTCTATGTGAAGACCCCAGATGGAGCGACCCCCGCGGGGAGAATTCGTGGAAAGGTAAATTATAGATCTAATGCTTAATCAAGCATGACTTGCTTATATAACTTAAAAAAGTAACTGGGAAGTTTCTGTCCAGCCTTGGCTGTATGACTTTTGATTACACTGGAAAAAAAGCATTACTTTTTTTTTTAACATAAGTGGCGAATTGCACCTTGAATTATTGTGAGTCTCGCAAAATTGTCCTCTCGATCTCGAAATCTAGTCAGCTGTCTGTGACAAGTCGCCGTGTTTTGTATTTCTTGTGAGTTTCTTAAAGATTAGGAATTGTTTTAGAGTTGAAGAAGCCGGTGCAGATCCACGAATGTTTGGTCGAAAGTCCGATTTTCTAGTCTTAAAACACATAACCTTTTCCAATTATAATAATAATTATCAAAATTCATTTCAGTGTCAAACGTATTTAGCTGTACGGGTAAAAGCCAAACGGGGAAACTAGAGACTAATAAGCTGGTGGTGTTCCAAAACAATTCATGTGATACGAATACGTCTTCCGATAGTTTTGTTTGAAAATCAGCCAAGATATGAATTCTCATATTTTGCTGACGAAAGGGTTATCTACTTTGAAGAACTGTATATCTCTGGTATTATTTTTGCATTTCAAACAGATTAAATGTATATCATACGCGAGTGCGTAAAAGTCGTCACTCTGTTTTCTTCGCTCCAGGTGCAGACCTACGCTTTCACTATTTCAAACTGCGAATATCTGCAATTCAAACAACTGACGTTTTTTGGCACCACTTTCAAAACGCTCCCAACGAGCAGACGGAGAGTTATTGGGAACCTAACGTTTGACTCGATCAATTTCAACTTCCCTTCATATTCCAAGCGCATGCTCGGTGTTACTGATCCTCCACTCTGGACATTCATCCGAGCATCTCGAAGGCGCAGCTTCGAGTTGATAAACAGCACTTTCTATGGGACTGATGGACTCGCTCTTGAGTACTATGGTGATGGAGTGCTGCTAAAGAATAATTTATTCGAGTACAATGATTGGTCTGTTACCCTCAAACAAACCCAGAATGGTGGATTCGGAACGGTGATATCACTGGGACCCAACGATAACTTTACTCGTAACACTTTGCGTTATAATGGCGCTGCGCATGGATATCGTCCGAATGGACCCAACCCCTTGGTGGAGCTCAACCACATTCACCACCAGTGCTGGGGAAATCTGCAGCACGATGGAGCGGGTATTCAGTTCCAGATCCCCTCGCAAACCAACGCTACTTGTCAGAAAAATTGGGTGCACACGAGTCCAAAACCTGGACTGCGTTTTGATGCAGCGAAACCACCTCGAGTTGGCACAAATGGTACCATGAAAGAGAATGTCATTTGGAAATGCGGTGGTATCATCGTTAAGGGTAACTATCATCATGTACTGAACAACCTTCTCTTCCACAAAGGAACTGGGGCGAGCCCTGCTCCAGGCTGCACCTTGTGTGTTCGAAAGTACTTCCCTTCAAGGCCTTTGGTTGAGATGAACCAGAAAACTGTGATCCGGCAGAATGCCGCAGATGTTGCAAACGGTGGCAGGAGTTCATGGCCTCTACCGGGTATTGTGACAAAGAACGTGATAGGACCTGTACGACCGGAAGTCATGGACGCAGATAATTTAGACTTCCGGCCCCGTGTAACCTCCAAATACAACGCGGATAGCGTCGGACCCTACAGGTATGATCCCAGAAACAGATTTTATTGGATTCCGGGGCGACAGCTCTACAAGGCTGATACCCCTGTGCCCCCGAATGGAAGTACCACTGTCAAGGTAGGATCAAAACTTCTCCCGAAATATTTGCATTAGGGCAAGTTTTGTACTTGGAAAATGATTGCAAAGCTTTTTCCAAACTGTGTCTTTAATTGGTGTTCAATTCTTTCGTTACCCTTTCCACCAATTAGATGCAAAATTTAAGCTGATAATGGCCTAGATATCTGGTGTTCTCTGAGTTTTAAAAATTCTCCTTTTCATTGATTTTTTAGTTGTGAACATTGCACGCTTGGTTTTACGACAATCGAAAGAACACCTAAATATAAGAAACTGTCAAAAATCGAGTAAGACACAAGAATAAAAGGATGTAAAAGAGAACGAATAAAAGAAAAGCGTTATCCTTTTCTATGCGGCAGATGATGGAATCAGCTTAGTGTTAAGTTTTAAAAGTCTCTGACCTAGTAAGTCGGTGAAAAAGTTGCTGAAAAGCGTTAGCCCTTAATTAATCAGAGCGAATAGCGAACGGCCAAGAATCGAAACCTCAGCTTAAGAATTCTTTACAGTGGCCAATTTACATTATCAAGTCAGTTGTTAAAACTAAATAATTCTTGTAATGCCTCAGCACCACACTTTTCCTAGAAACTTATTCCTTTCATCGAAAAAAAATAAGAAACGAGTCGACCGATAGACATATTGATGGACTGTTGGCGTAAACTAGCTCAAACATCATGCGCAAACGGTAGGCACCAAGAGTCTGATTAAAAAATTTTATTTCGGGCGGCTGCCACTCTTTTCTTAATACTTTTAAAGAAACCTCTTTTACCTGTAAGTACACGCTCTTAAACATCCTACGGGTTGGCGTGCGTGGGCTTACGGACAACTGGCCTTGGCAGATTAAACGTATTTTTAAAACTAAAATCCGAACAAGTCGTCCTGTTGGGGACTCTAAACAAGGTCATTTATAAATAGAGAGGGCGATGACCGTCCGGGAGTTATATCTAATTATATCGGTCAAGGACAAATCACTCAAAAGCAAAACTGTACGTGTGGTCTTTCGTCACATGACAAAACAAGGCTCTCAAGACACGCACATGGACTTCAAGGTAATCTTACAAGCCTGAACAATTCCCAAACGCTGAGACAGAACACTCCTAATTTTAGCAGTTCATTGTGAACAATCACAAAACAAGGCCAGGGATAAAATTACTCAAAAACCAATAAAATTTATGACCAAAATTGCACAATCAATCTCAAGTAATCGAAGCAGACTTGTCACATTCGACTGATGAATCTGTTCAGTGATAACTTTGATTCTACTCCGGTTGTTAGATCTTCACTCATTATATCACCGGTAAAAGTAATTTTCAGGACTAGTCCTATTCACGCAGCCACATCAAACAATCGTCTACTACTCCAGGACTCAAACCACAAATTGCTAAGCGTAATTCCTTCTTTTCTTTCCTCTCAGTTCGACAGAGATGCAGTGATGTGGCTTAACGCATACAAAGCCTCCATCCATCATGTGTACTTTGGTACAGACAGGGCCAACGTCGCCAGTGCAACACCGGCTTCAGATGAGCACAAGGAGAGAATCATCGATAATGGTAACGTGCATTACCTTACTGAAAGTCTTTTAAAAGGATCTACATACTATTGGCGGGTTGATGCTGTGATAACTGCCGCGACTACTCATAAGGGAGACGTATGGACTTTTCAAACCGAGTGAGAACAGATCAGAACACTGGTGGAAAGGATGACCTCATCATGATTCTCACCCAGACGCTGTGGAATTCAGTGTATATTTAATCGTTTTTGTGATTAAATTCAAGGTGGATATGGAAGTATTAAACAGGACTTCAAAAGGTGATGTTTCTTGAGGCCTTCGTGTTCATGATTTGGAAGAAAGGCTCGCGTAAGAGATTATAAATTTCTACAGAAACTTCTGTAGTGGGAAGAAGCGAGTCGCTGGGGAATGCAAGAACGGGCCGAATGATCCCCAAGAGTGACTACCATCTCCCCACAACATCACCCTTAAATCCGACAAAAAGGTCACGAGAATAACAGAAATGTTCACAGACTAAAAACCTCTTGATTGTTAAAGAAATTCTCCTTGTCAACCCACTAGGATACGTGTAGAGCACAGCCTGGAAAATATGCATACGAATGTTAACTCCTAAGAGTGACCAGCTTCTAAATTCTCCTCACAATATCACCCCTGAATTAAACATTAAGGTCACGAGAATCAAGGAAATGATCTATAGCTGAAGAAGCTCCTGATCGTTGAATAAATTCTCCTTGTCAGCGCTCCTGGAATTGTACGGAGAACAGTGCGGAGAAAATACATACTGATGGGTCAAGAGATCACGTTCGGTCCATGCACCTAAACAGCCAAAATGGCAGTCCTCGACAAACCTTATCAGAGGCACTTTGATACTCTTTTATTGTACAAAGATTCTGTGGTTGAGCAATACCAATCTTTTACCTTCGTGATATTTCTCGGGAGGAAAATATATTACATTATTTTACTTGGCTAGGCAAGGAATTCATTACTATACAATTATTTATACACTGCCGAGATTTACCACGCTTCAACTTTAATCGCTAAAAACAAGCCATTTCTGAGGATGAAAGAGCCTAACCTAAATGTAATACTTCCCGAGACGCTACGAAAAGTGCCGAATATTTCCGAACCATTTCCGGAATGTTCTCGACCCTTACTTCTGTCTTTAGACAGGGGCTACTATTGCTGAATTTGGCTGGGGCTTGTGGTGCGATTAAAATCAAAGTGCAAACGATTTTAGGCAAAATTTATTTCATTCCTAGGAATTATATACACAGACTGAACGCCAACTAATGCAGGTGAAACCGCTAAGGTAAGAAATTCAGAACAAAGACAACTTGTTTTATTATCAATATTGTATCAAGTGAAAGTATTTACGTGTAGTCAAATAAGCACAAGTTGGAACAAGGGATCCAGTGCAAAGGCGCAATGAATCAGATTAAAAAAAAACCTTTTCTACATACACACACAAAAAAAAACATTGTGAGCCTCTTCTCTATATGAAATTTCATGCAGTTTGCAGTTCTCGCGAACGGTAGAGGCCAGAGTTTACAGAGACATTCGGATGAAATGAGGAACAAGATAAGGTAAAGAGCAAGGGTATTCACTTTCTTTAAAGGTTATTGGGCAATTCAAAGGTAACATTCAAAGAAAATCCAGACATTTCGACCACATCACGCCGATCTCAACCAAATAAACCCGTCTCACTTCTTCTCAACTCTCCCCAGTCCTCGGATATTTGGTTCGCACCGGCCTGTGCTTTAACCAAATTCTGCAATACTGTTAGGCCGTGACAGACAGAAGAGGACGATTTAAGGGAAGATAAGGGAATGGAAATAGGAGAATTTTTCAGGGGTCAAGGTCCTTTGTTTTTGCGCCATAGTTCTCTGCCGCTGAAAATCTAGTCAACTAATTTTCCTTTCTACCAAATTTATGTTTCTTTGTTCAATAATTTAGAGCATTTGCTGTAAATTTAAGAAAATTCCCCTTAGATTCTCTTGACCTGTTTACTGGAAAACGGAGTGAAAATACAAGGAGCCTGTTAACCATTTCTGGGATTAAAAGTTAAGAATCAGTATTTAACGATAATTTTAAGGGAATTTTTTTCCGAATGAAAATTTCGGCTCAACAATAACAGAGGCAGATGAATCGCTTAATTTGCAAGCACAAAAAACACTGCTCGTATATCATGTTTAGACTTTCACGAATAGAAGGGAAAAAAAAACTTTCCTACAACGAAAACAAGAGAACAATTTTTACTTTTGAGCTATGTAAGTCAATTATCTACTCCTAATTTAGGGTATAACTTCTTTTTCAGGAAAGAAATAAATTCACAATAAAAGCACTTTACCTCAAAGTCACGCGAGTGAAAGATGAGTGTTTTGCGCTACACTCCATCTTCATCAACTTTCACGCAATCTTTGTTTTAAAGAAAACTAGTTATCAATTCAATTCACGCAATACGCTTTCAGTCACGTCACAGGTTCATTCCCGCAAGAACCTCGTTGCAAAGTTTCTTGTAATGCCACTGGTTGCCACTGACTCGTCGCAAGCGTAATCCGTTAAGATTCTCCCGGAGGGGGCAGACTTCAATTTCAGCGCACACACCCCCCTGCTGAAGGGTGAATGTCTGCTCCGACTGTTCGTAAGCAATCTTGGCAGACCGCTGATCCAGCGATCTTCTTATTTCACTAAGAATATCAGGTATACACTTGCTAGAAGTCATATTAACAGAAAATGCCATACGCAAAGTGTTCGTTTGCGTCAAGTCGGGCGAACCGTCTCCTTTGCTAAGCGAATTAAGTAAAGAGTCTTGATGAATTGTTCCGTTGGGAGAAAAAGTTCTATATAGAAGACCGTCTCTAATTCCTAGTCCCTCTTCCAAATTAATATTGTTGTTTAACATGTCCCTTGCTTGGTTTTGCGATAAAACATTATTAGCGGTCGCTCTTCTGAGCAAGTCCATAGAATTCCAGGCGTCTTGCGCAGAAGGCACCGTATGATGTCGACGGTGATGCATTGGCGACCGCTGCCCGACGTTTCCCGCGAGCAACGCTGCCGCAGGATTTGTCCCGATAGTCCCGAGAAGTGTTGCAGGGCTTAGGGGCATTGTGCCACCGCCGAGTCCCCATCTACTAGCCCTTGCTAACTCTTCAAGATCATTCTCATTTATAACCGGATTTCCCAACATAGCAGCTGGAATACTGGTGGGAATTGGTGGAATAGTTCCCGTATCCGATACTGTCTCCGCCAAGCTTCCGTTTGACGCAGTCCTTGTGGTAGAAGTGGCAATGCTAGGTATGGGATACCGCTGATTGAGGGGCACTGCTGATATAAGAGGAGACGGCGGCGGCGAAGGAACTGGAGACGATAATGCGACGCCATCGGATAGAAACGAGGTCGTGTTTGCTTGTGTTGACATAACATTCTGCGAGAGAAAGTTCGATGTCTCAGTAGAGGATGCAGGCGACGAGTCCTCGATAAGAAGACTATTTCTTGGCGAGTTCGAGGCAAGATTTTGTGCAAGAGTGGAAAGCGCGGAAGGATCCGAACCTATTCCTCCTGAAGTGGAGTGGATAATTCCTGCGGAGTCGAAAGGTGACTGGGTGCAGTGTTCAATGTTCAAGCGTTGCATCTCCTTGTGAAGAAGATCTTGGTGCTCCATCGACGACTGAGCTGGAATTTCCTCCAAATCTTCGACCGAACTCTGGAGTAATACTTCTACTCTTTGCCCATCGAAGTCCAACTCCTGACTCGTATGAGCAGGCGCGTACTGCTGCTGGAACTGAGCGAGTGTGGCGGCTAAAGAGTCAGCACTGTCCGACGCCCTCCTACTGTAAAACTGCTGCTGCAGATGAAGCTCGTGTTGTTCCTGTTGTCTACGCTGCTGTTCTGCTTCAGCAACTCGGCCATACTGCTGCTGGAGTTGTAGGCACTCCTCTTGCAGCTCACGAAGGCTGTTTCGTTTGGACCCGCTGCCGCTGATGCGCTCCATATGCTGCTTGTAGGCTAGCACCGAAGCAGATCCATCTGAAGCTCGCCTTGATCCGTTGTATCGAATCCCGGAGGGTGTAGTTATGAAGGGTCCCTCCCGTCCTGGCCGGTCCCTTGCGGGAGGAAACACGGTCCGTCTGGTTTTTAACGGCACTTGTAATAATCGCAGTTGAAGCATGTCATCTGGCATTTCATTTGGTGAGGTGTGACGTTGCCGTGCCCCTCGACATGCCATGTACCGTGCAATTGCATCTTGATCTGGTTCCTGATCTGAGCCGCTGTCGTTTGCCCCTTCGCTTATTTGAGGGCTCGATGGCCCGGGCGAAACCGAGAATGGTGACTGACACACAAGAGGATTATGGCTGTTTAACGGCGAACCGCTTAGTGAGCCCGTGTGACCCTGATTATCGTCTCCTATTCCAGCCATGGCACGAAGAGCATTAAATTGCGCTATTCCGGCGGCTAGGCTCGTTGGTCCATCGGAGGCCCTTCTTCCCAAGGGCGGTCTAAGCTGGAACACACTGGGCACCTGCAGAATTTGCTCCTTGTATGCCAAAGACAGGTCCAGCGTGGGCGAATACGGTGGCAAACCTGGGTTCAATCCTAAAGCACCCTGGAATGCATCCTCAGTGGCCTGACTTAGAGGACTCAAGGGCTGTTGCACGAATTTCTGAGTGAGCATCTCTCGTAGCTCCGGCTCCATCAACGGATCCACAGCGGTCAGAGTATGCCGCCGCTTCTCCAGATAGGTCTTCAAGCTTGGAGGGATCTCATCCGGCATCTTATCGTCTTCTTCGTCACCCTCCTGCGTGAGGTCCCATTGGTCCTGGAGGGGTTTCACTCGCCTCGTGGGCGAGTCAGGAGTCACTTGGACGGTAGGAACATTCATTGACGGCTTCTCAGCTCCAGCCAACTCATCTTCTGTCTCCATCATCTCTGAATCACTTGAGTTGCCAGGTATGGCAGTTATGTTGGCGCAAGGATCGTGTGACGAGCTGGCAGATCTTTTGAGCTTTTCCAGAAGTGTGAAATAAATACCGGAGAACTGGTCGTAATCCTTCTTGAAAAGTGACTGCAACGGAAACAAGGAAAATGATTTAAGATACAACAGTTATCGACTAGAGTCAAGTCGAGTTTTGTCAGTTGATAACCAGCTCAAGTATCCAGAAAAATTTTCTGACGGAAAATTTAACTTCAGTCATTGGAAATGTGCTTGAGAAATTCCCTTGTC